GTTCTCATGTCTTCCACACTGATAACATGCCTGCAGAGTAAGCCGGTGAGCTGCTGTTTTTTTATACCTGATAGGAAAGGCTAAAGAATACTATCAGTTTTATACAACAAAGATAAATCCCTTTGCTGCAGCATTCACTTCACTCCATAATTCCTGCATTCTAGCTGCTGTGGAAGTATTCACTTTTAATAAAGTCATAAACTTTTTACTTTGCAGGCTTTAGGAGTGCTGACAAAATACTGCAAACATTAGAAATATGCTTTTTCTGCAAGCTAGTAAGCTACTTTGGGGTAATACTGAATTTTCGTTGGGTTGGGAGAAATTGAGACTGATCACATCCCTACCAAAAGACCTTAACTTGCTTTAGCCCTCCCCCCCCCAAAAAACCCCAAAAACAAAACAACCCCCCAAAAGCAAAAAAAAACCCACCTCTTTAAAGTGAAGGGAACTGAACTGAGACAGATGTTCAGGGTCACTAATTTCAAAAGGAGTGCCATATCCAACTACAGCAAAGTAACTCTTGATATGTAGTAGTAGATTTAAAATATTGAGTTTAAGAACACACACACAATGCTAAATTTTAAGAAGGAAATCTGAAATGTGGCTGTGGCCTATATCAGTACATAGGGCTTTAAAAATCAATACTATGCACTTTTAACATGGATATAATATGGTTACCAGTATTCAGCCCAGCAGCTCAGTATTATGTTTTGTTTTGAATGATTATCAAAAGATGTATAGCAAATGAAGCCACGTGTTCTTAAGAGTAAAATAAGGATGTAAGTAGAAAAGTAGTAAATTTAATATTAAAAACACAGCTTCACTTGAAGGGACATAGGAATAATTTGTGGTTGGGATTCTTAATTTTATTTCAGCTGAACAACTAACAAAGGAGGATGTGAAAGAGAACATCTATTTTGATTACCTCAAAGAAAAAGGAAAACTTTTGTAGGACAAGGTAGTTGTTGACGCATCCACCTGGCACTATCACCAAAATGTCTCAGTACTTAAAGCAGCTGGCAAACATGCATGATTCAGAGTAAGAGAGTGCATTGCACAACAGCAGCTTGTTGATAATCTTCCCCTGTGTGTTTGGAAAAGATCTTGCTAAGAAGTCTTTAATATATGTTGAAAAATTGAGGTGTGGGAGGTGAGGAGATTGTGGTTTGTTGCATATAAAAATCTCTCATTAGTGGTTTATCAGTTCCCTCTGATTTGGCTCATGTCCCCTTGCTATGGCTTGAGCTACATAACTTCAGTTCCTTATACAGTACCAAGAACATTCTTGAAGCAATGCAGCAACATGGTGATTTGAGTTAAAATTAATAAGGACTCTCATGAGATGAGTGATGAGATCCTTCATTGACTACCTCTAACAGAGTTTGAGATGCTGATTTTGGCCCAGCTCATTGAGAGGTCTGTCTCCACCACTGATTTTTCTGTAGTCAGAACAGTATGTGATTACAACTTTCCTTTGGGAATATTAAGAATCCCAACCACAAAGTAAATGCCTTCTTGGGGAACTGAGCCAGAGTTGCCTTGAGTGACCCCAAACTGAAGAATTTACAAAACATGGCAGAATGCAAAACCTGCCTCTCTCAGTAATACATCCATAAATGTGTGTATACACTTTTTCATTCTTGGAAAGGGGAAGAGGAAAGCAAACTTGTATAAATTACCTGTTTAGACTTACTGCAAATTTGTGTGGTTAGAAACTGTTGTTAGTCCCATTTCAAAGCAGTTGAGGGATGCAGAATAGCAAATTTACCTTATCTGAAGGCATCAAGAAATTCTGGATCTGAGTATAAACATGTTTCCAGATAAAAGCGAAAAGACAGACTGAATGAAAGGTACTATGCATTTGATCTCTTAAGTGCAGTACATTTGACATCAACAGCCACCTCTCCCTCAGTGATTTACCTCACAAGGTACTTAATCTGTTTGAAGGACATATGATCTACCTTAATGCACTGGATCTAAATCTGACTTTACAGCTTTTAGAGGGTAAATTAATCACATTTTACAAGTATATTGCATCTTGTATGCACAAATCTTGTAAGAATAAAAAATGAAACTGGACTAATATCTGTCTACTTTGAGCAAAAACTATAAAAGTTGACTGAGTATCATGTTGTCTAACACAGAATTTTTCAACATGTGGATTGTGATGCATATATTCTTGCAACCCACTTTTGCAAGGGTCGCAAACAAACTTTAAAAATGGATTCTTCTTTAAAGGAGAAAAACATGGGAAATAGAGGCTTTCCCCTTGCGGGTTGGCCGAATTCCAGCCTACAAAGGGTTACTTGGGGCCCTCAGTGCCCACCCCCCACCCATCCCCTTCCCCTTCCCCACACACTGTGGGGGCCTGGGGCCTAGAGGCAGGGAGCAGCAGGTTGAGAGTAAGGGGCACTGGGTTGGGACTGGCCATTGACCTTTACAAATGGGTCCTGATACAGTAAAGGTCGAGAACCACTGATCTAACAACGAGAAAAGTTTTCTTCTTTTCAACACATATTGTGGGTTGGTATAACTATATAGCTGAATATTCTCTTACTAGAATTCCATATAATCTTAGAATAAGCCATTATACTGCTATTTTGAGCAGACACAAATGTATTTTATAATATTAAATTTGTAAGTGACAACATTTGAAAGCAGCCAGACATCTAGCACTTCAAGTTGGAAGACAGCAGTGTGGGAAATTGAGTGTCCTTTTATCAGCTTTAACAGAGTGGCTTTTAAGATGTTCCCTTATTCAGAGCATTTAGTAGTTTTCACAAATGGAGCACTTTGGAAACTGAATGTTCGGGAAAGGTGGCGAAGGATGATATCATCTGAATTTATCTGAAAAGTAGGAACTGCTCAATAAGATGCATCTTGGCAAGAAAGACCATCCATACCTGTGATATGCTAAATTAAAGCCTCTTGGCCTGCTATATTTTTCTCTAGAAATCAAGCAAATATATACATTTCAGGTTGAGCATTAAATTATGTGAACATTATGTTTATCCTACATATTTGTTTCCTCCTTGTTGTGAGTCACTTCTCAACCCATCTTACTGGTCATGTCTTTGGCACAGAGGAAAATGTGTCTTATCTTTTGACTTTGTTTTGAAATAGCTAATTATGCAATCCAGCTACATGTTGTTAAATGAGATTTTTATGTAGACTCCTGAAGTTTAAGTTGTTACTATTTAAGATAAAGCTAATCTTGTAAATAAACCAAAGCTAAGCATAATTAGGGCTTCTGGGTCCTGGTGAAGTACATGTAACAGAAACTTTCAATATAAGTGGTGCCAATCTTTTGTTAGGAGAGTGTTCGAATTGGTGACCTATTCTGTAGAGGATGTCGTTAATTGCCTGTTTTTTTTTCACTTTTGTATTTTGGAGGTGGTCTTCCTAAATCTCTTGTTTGTGTATCACCTCTTCTTCAAATCTCTGGAAAAAGAAAATGTAATTGGTTTGCCATTTGCAAGCTAAACCTGGTACAGGTTGAAAGCTGGATAGTTGATCTGGTAATGGCAAATTGAGGATATCTTGATTGACTCCTAATAAATCAGGATCAAGTGCTGTGCTACTTGATTTTATAATTTAATTTAAAAGGAAGGGGGAGAGAATTTGGGATCAGATGAATTAGGAGGGAGGAAGCAATGAAAGTTTGTTTTTCCTTTAAAGGTGCCTTTAAAATCTATGTTGGCTTTCCCTTCGTGATTAGCATCTGTTTAACGGTAGAAGTGAACAAAAATCAAATTGTCACTTCATTCTATAAATGATTCTTCTAACTTTTCACTTTGTTTAAATGTATGGTTTTAAAATGAATTAATACAGGAGTTAATTATTCCAGAGGATGCAGGTTATACATAATGTTGCCCAGAAGTGCAACATTGTCTAATTCAAAATTTTGAATGTAAGCAGAAAAATCCAAGTCTTTATTTGTTATATACTGAGTATTGTATTTGACCACAAAGGTTGTCTTTTGTTATTAGATTATATGAATAACATTTCAATTCAGCATTTGGGTAAACTTTACAAAAGAGAAAGTAATTCCTAAATATTCAGTTGTTCCTAAGATGAAACTAATTGTTCTAGAATAAATAAAGTAAATTGCACTTAGCCTGAAAATGGAACTGTCAAAATCCTGTTAAAATTGACATGTATTGTTAGCCCTACTTAGAGTGAATGGATACATTCTCTGAAAATGCACCCTACTGCTGCTCAGTTTCCCAGTCTCTATTTCTTTCTATTACTCCTGCATGCAATACATTGATTTTCATGAATTCCAAACCCATTAGGAAGGTTTGTTTGTAAGTGGTAAATGAAACTTGGTGTCTTTAACCAACTTTACAAAGTGGCGAAAATTTCATGCTTTCAGATTTAAAACTTTGAGGGTAATAGAACATGCTGTTGAACTATATTGTGCAAATAAATAGTCCATTAGCTCTGTGTTTTATTGCAGGTTTTGTAGTTGGTTTCAGTTAAAAGGCCTTTTAGAAGTATTTTTCTGTAGTATCTGGCACTATATCAGCATAGCATTTTATGGGGGATGACAAAAATCTAGAGGGTGACTGGACTTGGATTCTGCCTAAGACTTATGGATGTATTTATTTTTGTATGTTATGAACAATGTCATTGAAGTCCACTTAATTTAATTAATCAATTGTACTTTTTAGGTTTTTTTATTAATGGAGGGAAGAATAATAATTTTATTCTGAAGATAAAGAACCTGTCAGATCTATGGTATTCTGATACAGTTTCTAAATCACATAAGTTACATTTAAAATACTTCAGTTTGCTTTTTTTTTTTTCCAAATACTGTCCCAAAGGATCTGGACATATCCATACAGTTTTAAAATATATATGAATCTGTATTGTGTGTTTCCTTTCAAATTTTGGTATCATTGCTGTCTTGTTTGGATGGATAGGCCACTAAGCTTTATTACAATCTGTTTTATCTGAAATATAACTCATCTGAAAGATGCCTCTTCATCTCTTTCAAGGACACTTTGATTGTGTGGTCCGAAGCTGAAAATTATGACTTGGCACTTAGCTTTCAAGAAAAAGCAGGATGTGATGAAATATGGGAAAAAATATGTCAAGTAAGTTTGAAAGTAAAAGAATATCTCAATATTTCAATCATGTTATTTATGAAAGAAAATGTCTTTTTAAGTAATGCTTCTTTCTTTGTTAAGAAATGTGCTTAGTCTCTCCTACTGTACCTCTCACCCTGACAGTAAAAAGCGCATTAAGCATGCTTCATGTGCCCTTTCCCTCAAAATCAGCCCTCCAAAATTGGGGTGCATGTTATAAGCGGGGAAACTGATTTTTCTTTGCTGGAATAGAGTAAGCAGAGATTGGGCATTTATACATGTGCTGTGGTGGGGAGGGGGTTATTATCTCATGTGACAAGCTTTAGGTAAAGTGTCCCCGCCACCATTTTGAAGCATGGGGATGCTGATACTCTAGATGCAGAATGCTGCTGGAGCACGGTAATTGCCACACTCCAGCAGATTGAGTCTGCTCCAATGCACTGGAATTACAGCGTGTCGGAGCAGCCTCCCTGCTCGTGTATAGGCATCTATTGATTCTTGTTTGCCAAGATGCCTGCCACTTCTGGAGCTGCAAACAGTAGCGGCAGTGTCTAAGTGTTACCCCTCTCATTGGCACTGGGAAAGTGATAGGTTTTGGCTGAAGAGCCACCGAGCTGGTTGAGGGTGAGTGAGCTGCTGCATCCAGTTTGTAGTATATTGATTAAACTTGTTTTGATATAAGACTTTATTTTTGACATGGACTTACACAGCAGCTATTTATAGCCAAGTAATAACTGCCTTTGCAAGGATCTGGGCCTAGCCTTGTTGCTCTCATGCTGTACCAGGAAGTTCCCTACTGCCTTACCTAGACTGTCTCTTGGGATACCACAGTTCCTGGATACCTGTTTCCAGAACGGAGTTACTTGCTCCATGTCATGCAGTCAGGCATGACTGGAAAAAAATCTGTTTTTCTGCATTCCACTGCCTGTTTTATTTGGGGAGGGAGAGGTGGTATGTGAAAAAATATAGTAAACTGCATTACATTCTTAACAGCTCTTCTATTTGTGCTTTTATTTATTTTGGCTCCCCAGAGCCAAAACATGTAGACAGTCCAGATTAGTCTCCTAATCAGTTTTATTAAAATGATTTTGCTGTCAAGGAGTGTAAAAAGGGTAATTTGCTTTTCTCCTGGAAATACAACTTTTTAGCTATATATATTAAAAAATGTCTGAAAATTAAAAATGTTTGTTAAAACATCTTGTTTTCATAGGTTCAAGGAAAAGACCCTTCAGTAGATATTACTCAGGACCTTGTAGACGAATCTGAGGAAGAACGCTTTGATGATATGTCATCACCTGGTCTAGAATTACCATCTTGTGAATTAAGTCGGCTAGAAGAAATTGCAGAACTTGTGGCATCTTCACTGCCTTCACCGTTGCGGCGTGAAAAACTCGCACTAGCACTGGAAAATGAGGGCTATATTAAAAAGCTCTTAGAAATTTTTCATGTGTGTGAGGACTTGGAGAACATTGAAGGACTGCACCACTTGTATGAAATTATTAAGGGAATCTTCCTTTTGAATAGAACTGCACTTTTTGAAGTCATGTTTTCTGAGGAATGTATAATGGACGTAATTGGATGCCTAGAATATGATCCTTCTTTATCACAGTCACGAAAACACAGGGAATTTCTGACAAAAACAGCAAAATTTAAAGAGGTGATTCCTATTTCTGATCCAGAGCTGAAACAAAAAATACATCAAACATACAGAGTACAGTATATTCAAGATATGGTTCTACCCACTCCCTCCGTGTTTGAGGAAAATATGCTGTCAACGCTTCACTCCTTTATCTTTTTTAATAAAGTGGAAATAGTTGGTATGTTACAGGTAAGTCTGAGACTTAAATTTTAATTTTGGATTCATGGGAGTAGAGTAATAATTCTTGGAATGTTACAGATTTCTTTTTGGAGCCTTGAGTTGCATCTGGGTGTCAGCATCATAAATACACTATGTGCAAGAAATGCATAGTGTCTGGGATACTGAGCTACAAAGTTTCTATTCTGCAAATTAAATGTGAACCCCGTAGGCTTTTACTTTTAGATTAAGTACTTTACCATGGTGTGACCTTTAACAATTAAGACTCCATACTTGTATTCATTCCTACATTGCTGTTTAGGGTCACTTTTAAGGTCCCACTCAAACAACTTGAGCCCCATGAGCAACTATGTCCTTGTCTACCAAAGCTGTCAACATTGTTTTTTATTTCTTGAATACAGCCTAGAATGTATGCCACTTGTCTTACAGAGCCCTCTAGGAATCAGTTTGCATATTGCTTATGTCTGTTTATAGGCTGTCAAAAAGGAAGTGAGGTGCAAGAGAGCTGAAAGTTAGGAAATTGTGGGATTGCTTTTTGGGCTTAAGCTCTACAGTTTGCAGACAGACACTGAAAAATGGGGATGACTGATCAGCAAGCAAGGAGTTCACTCAACTTTGTATGTGGAAGTTCATCAGAGCTTCTGGGGTTAGGTTGAACTGGTGTTTTTGCTCTGAGAAATTCTGAACATCTGTATGCTCATGGTTTCTCCTAGGAGAGTATTAACTGTCTGCATGACCTTAGAGAGTGGGAGATGTAGTAGGCTGTGTTATGGAAAGAATCGGAGGGTGAGAGAGCAGCAGCAGAGTATTCTCCCTCAGTCTAGGAGAAGCAGCTGAGGCAGGAGGGGTGTTTTAACTCGCAGGAGAGGTAGAGTGAATGGAATAAAAACCTTCTGAATCTCCTTCCTTTCTTTGAAAACGTAACCTTCTGGGCTGCTTCTCTGTCCTTTTGAAAACAACTAGTGAACCATGTACTTGTTGACACTTCCTCTTCTGTTCTCTCGTGTTAAAGGAGCATTGGTGCTGAGCCTATTATTTTCTTTTCCTCCACTCTTACGAAAATCAAGTGGCTCCTTGGTTCCACTCAGTGCATTCATCAGGTAACACTACTGTTCAACCTGGATGAGTAGGTTTTAAATCTCTGGATATGAATATCATGTTAGAAATATTTGGTTTACTTAACAGTACATACAGTCTGGGCAGGATTGCATTAGCCTTTGTGGAATTCACTTTATTTTACCAAAAGCTGAGTTTTTATTTTAGAGTGTTTATAAAATACATCTAAAAACTTAAGCTCTGTCTGCTTTATGTGGACATGAGGGAAGCCCCTGGTTGACCATACAAAATTATTTTTTCCCTGACAGTTAATTCTGTATATAAATTAGAAGTTAATCTTCACCTCGGAAGCTACTGTAGCAGTATGTGTTTAGTGCTCTTTTTCCTCTTTTCTATCAACTCTGGCTGGATACTGGAGCTTCTGTTACTTTTAGGGGATTAATGCTTTTTATAAGTCTTCTTAACTGAGGAGTCAGGCTGGTACAACTGAAACTCAGGCTAGCATCCAGGATTAAGGACAACAAAAAGTCCTTTTTTCAAGTACATTGGGAGCAAGAAGAGGGCACCAGGCAGTGTAGGCCCCCTGCAAGACACAAATGGTAATCTTGTGGCCACACCAGACAAGAAAGCTGATAGTTCTAACAGTTTCTTTGCCTCTGTTTTCTTGAACACGGACCAGGATATCCCACCTACCAGAGGTAGGGACAATCTTGGGGAGAGCTCTATCAAGCCTTCATTCAGCGCAGATGTAGTTAGGGATCTTGTGGAAGGGCTAGAAATTTTTAAATCTGCAGGTCCATAGGCCCTCCACACAAGGGTGTTGAGGGAGCTGGCAGGGGTCATCGTGGAGTCCTTGTCCTGGCTGTATAAGCATTCATGGTCATCTGGCCAGGTGCCAGGGGATTGGAAACTGGCTAATGTGGTCCCAATTTTCAAGAAGGAGAAGAAGGAAGACCCAAGTAACTATAGGCCTCTAAGCCTCACCTCGGTGCTCAGGAAGATCTTGGAGAGAATCATCAAGTAGCACATTTTTGGGGGGCCAGCAGGGGAGATCATGCTCAGGGCAATCAGCATGGATTCATCAAAGGCAGGTCCTGCCAGACCAACCTGATTGCCTTTTATGACCAAGTAACTAAATCCTTGGATGATGGTGTCACTGTGGATGTAGTCTTTCTAGACTTCAAGAAGGCCTTTGACACTGTCTCTCACCCCATCCTCATCAATAAATTAAGCGACTGTGGCATTGATGCCTGCACAGTTGGATGGGTAAAAAATTGGCTGATGGGGCGCACCCAGAGAGTAGTGGTGGACAGGCTGTACTCAACCTGGCGAGATGTGAGCACTGGGGTACTCCAGGGCTTGGTCCTCGGGCCCACACTGTTTAACATCCACATCAGCGACTTGGACAAGGGGGTGGAAAGCACGCTGTCCAAGTTTGCTGATGACACTAAGATGTGGGGCAAGGTGGACACACTTGAAGGGAGAGAGGCTGCAACTAGATTTAGACAGACTACAAAAGTGGGCAGACGAGAATAGGATGGGGTTCAACATAGACAAATGCAGGGTGCTGCACCTTGGGAGAAGGAATCCACAGCATAAATACAGGCTGGGGAGTTCCCTTCTTGAAAGCACAGAGGCGGAAAGGGATCTTGGAGTCATTATTGACTCCAAGATGAACATGAGCCGCCAATGCCAGACCTCAGCCAGCAAGGCCAACCATACCTTGTCATGCATCCAAAGGTGCATCTCAAGCTGGTCCAGAGAAGTGATACTCCCCCTCTATGCGACTTTGGTCAGACCGCAGTTGGAGTACTGCGTCCAGTACTGGGCACCGCACTTCAAAAGGGATGCGACCAGCCTGGAGAGGGTTCAGAGGAGAGCCACCCACTTGGTGAGAGGGCAGCAGGACAGGCCCTACAAGGAGAAACTGAAGGACCTGAACCTGTTCAGCCTCGGCAAGAGGAGGCTGAGGGGGGACCTGGTGGCTGCCTACAAGCTCATCAACAGCAAATAGGCAGAGCCCTTTTCTCCTCAGCACCACCTGGGGTGACAAGGAACAATGGTAATAAGCTGATGGAGAATAGGTTTAGGTTGGAGATCAGAAGGCAATATTTTACAGTTAGGGTGGCCAAAATCTGGAACCAACTTCCCAGGGAAGTGGTCCTCGCCCCTACATTGGGCAAATTCAAGAGGAGATTGGATGATCACCTGTCTGGGGTCTTGTGAACCCAGAATTCATTCCTGCCTGTAGCAGGGGGTCAGGCTAGATGATCTGTTCAGGTCCCTCCTGATCCTAGCTACTATGAAACTATGAGTCTAGGGTTTGATGTCTAGAGGAAGCAAGATATGAAAGAATTGCATGCTTGGCTTTCTTCCATGTCCTGGTTGTTGTTGCAATGGTGCTGCTGCGGACTGCACGTCAGCTTGGGATTCCTGGCCCAATGAAGGTAGGTTTATGTGGGACAGAGGTTCCTGTTTTTTATTGTATTCAAATGCATGGCATTTATGTAAAACGTAAGACAGTTTGCACTCTGTCTACAACATGAGGGCCTCTCCCTATGCCATCTGTACCTTTCTTCCCATATATTAGAGCTGTCTGTCTGGTTGCCCACAAAGGATTAAATTAAGGCCCCCATACTCCTACCCAGTTTCTGCTCCTGCCATCAGTCTGGCTGCAGAAGCACCAGGGGCTCCTTCCCCCCGTGGCTTCTTCCCTACCCTAGGTGGCACAGCCAACAATGCTGGGGGCTATAGCATAACTGAGAGGGTGATCATGCTGCCTTCATGAAGGGGGACAGAAATAGCCATAACCTCAGCAGTGGCTGATCATGCCATGAGGTGTTGCCCTGGGTGTCCTGCAGCTGCCCTGGGTACAGAGCTGTGTTGCTGTACTTCTGGTTAGGGGAAACTGTGTATGGCCTGAGGCACTAGGGGAGGCCACAGCTGGGGAGCTTTGGGCAGGGTGGGGCACCTGGGCACACAGTTTAGTCGGGGGTGAACACTAAGGTGAATGGTGAAGCAAGGGTGAGCATGCAGCCCTGGGGGGTGCACAGCCTCTGGTCGCTTAGAAGTTGGACAACCCTGCCATTCATTATCCTTGTCTTGCACTTCAGTCTTATTCTAACATTGCGTACCTCACATGGTATCTCAGCCAAATCCTCCCTCTCTGTGTATGTTTCTGTGTTAGAAAAATAGGGCAAACTTTGATAAAAGGGGGGCTTTTCTTAGTTGGCCCCAACCAGAATCTCTTTTGGCCTTGACTACGCTGAAAGATGGCCATCTTCATGGGAGAGCTTGAATACTGATACTGTTATCTTTGACACACTTTGGTTGTTTTGGGATAAAAGGGAGTAAGTTAAGTGTTTTCATAAAAAGACTTGTTATAGACTTTAGCCCAACATTGTCTTATTCAAAGTTTGGCAATCAAATCCCCCAGCGATTCTGCAGAGACCATGCTCCTACATTCCAAGATTGCAGGGTCTGAGCGAGGTTTCTCTGAAGTGGCTTCTGGTAGCCAGGAAGTACTTTGACAGGAGGCATCAAAATAGAGAACAGTAGGGCTCTCAGTGACGTGTGTGTGTGTGTGTGTATTGTTGCAGGCTGTTGTAGCTTTGACTGAGTGCCAAAAACATAGAATGGATGTCTGTTGAGTTGTGTACATATTTTATAAACATACGGTTTAAAAAAAATCACACTTCCATACATTCTTGGGGGTGGAGTGCTAATAAAAATACATCTTTTGACTGACAGTAAGCTATGTATATAAATAAATAGGATTCAGGAAGGCTGAGCTGGTCATGATCAAGCAGCCATTTCCATTATATAGATGGGTTGACCTAGGTAGGTAGGTGTTTTTCCATCCATGATCTTGTTTTACCTTTCAGATCAGTTTTAATAGCCATTCAAAAATTTTCTCTCTCTCTCTCCTGCTAGCCTAGTGAGGGAAAGTCCCATTG